TTTGAAGTCTAAGTCTGAGGACCATTGCTCTGCTATACAGCCTTCTTGTCACAGAATGACAGCATGTTTCTGCTACTCCTCCTGGTTCAATAAAACCCCACCTCTATCTACATCTCATCTTATCTTTGAAGAGGTGGCTTTTGAACTGAGCTTTTCCCAAGCCCTCTCCCTCCAGCAAACTCACAGAGCATTTGTTCATTCCTCTTGTTATATTTATCTCATTCTTCCTCAAGTTACAGTTATCTGTATCCTATCCACTCTTGTACCCCCTAAAGTGGTTCTGGAACAGAGGGAAGAGATACTGAATTATTAGCCAGTCAGCACATGAAGAGCCCTTAGAGATCACCACCTCTGACTATCATTTTGCAGGTGTGGAAAAGCAAAGAGTCTCACCCCAGGCCACCCAGGGAGTCCTGGCAGAGCTAAAGTGAGTCTCCCGGCCCCTCGGTGCTGGCTCTTTCCACTGCACCAGGCTGCTTCCCAGCTGCTCCCTTTTGGTTGGCTCAGCACCTCAATTCAGAGGTGCTAGCATGTGACAAACACTTCATAAATACCTCCCCACTAAGCAGTAAAAAGCAGCCTGGGAACACAGGCCTCATCCTCTATAAGGGCCCTCAGCTCAAGCTTCACAGCACCTGCATCAAACCTCCCACTCAGTGCAAGCTGCCCATCAAATGAAGAAACAGCCCCTTAGGTCCCTGGTGACCCATATGGCTCAGAAATGCAATTCCATTAGGCCAGAGTTCTGATCCCAGCCTTGCTGAGTAATCTCGGGTAAATGCCTTCATCTCTCCAGGGGTCAGGTGCTCCAGACAGGTGAAAGAATGACATGAGGAAGAAGTTCCCAAGCCTATTGGATTGTTATAGGCACTAGACAGGCTTTCCAAGAGGAGCCTCAGAGTCCTGCCTCTAGGGGCCTCTGATGACAGGGAAGGTTCAGGCCCACCTGAGACAAATGGATGGTTCCTTTGGAACTGTGCCACAGAAGTGAGTCTGGATGGCCCCTCAGACTCTGTGGCCACTTTTTGGGTTGCTGGGGTCAAGAGCCAAGAACTGTTTGAAAATGTCCTAAGTTGGGTAGAACATTTATTATTATTATTATTACACACAAATTCAACACAGAAAATGGCATCACCCTCACCTTCCTGACCCACTGAGTAGGAAAGGCCATCCCCCCTCCCTGTCCCATTACACCCACATCAGTATTATCACAGCTCCTAGATGGTTCATCATACCTACACATTTAGATATTTGTCTCCCTCTGTTAGCCGTGAGCTTCTTGAAACTAGGGACCGCCTCTTACTCCTTCCTTTACCCTGTGCACTTGGTCTAGGGCCTGATAAATAAATAATAAACAAAGGCTGATATATGTTTAGCTAGACAAGGAATCCCCTCCACTCCTGTTCTGGGATAAGGCAGCATTTAGGCCCCTTAGAGCCATAGACACATCCAGCCCATTTGTGACATGCAGAAGGAAACTGGCCGATCCAAAATCACTCCGTCAGTGAGAGGGCTCGGACAAAAAGCAGCCTTTCCAACTCTCAGGACAGTGCATTTCCAGCTAAACTGTCTCGAGTTCTACTACACATTAGCTGTGTAACTCTGGGCGAGATCCTTTGCCTCACTGCCCTGGCTTCCTCACTTGTAAAATGGGTAAAATTGTAGTGCCTACCTTATAGGATTGTCTGAGGAGTAAGTGAACCTGTGTAAAACAGAGCACAGGACATAGGAGGAGCTCAAAAAGTGTGCCTGTCATGACTGTCATTCACTCCTGGCTGTTCTCCTTGGTAAAGGGGCACCCACCACCCATCAGCAAAGCAGAGCTCACAGCGCAAGGAAGACTTTCCAGCACTGACTTACACAGTCTTCAACCCAGCGAGTCCCCTGCAACAATCCCTTTGGGGAAATGCCTGACCTTTTGTCACGAATCCTTCACAGCTTTCCCTCCTCCAAAGCCTTATGCACGTGTGCAAGTGTACACACAATTCACAGTGATGACAAGGAGAGGTTGTGAAACCTTTGCAAGAGCTCACCCTTTCAAGTCAGATAGACCGGGTGTCAGATAACAAGTCTGCCACTTAGAGCTGTGCAGTCTTAGGCAAGTCACTCTCTCTAAGCCTCAGTCTCCTCATCTTTCAAAGTGGTATAATCTGGGCTTCCCTGGTGGCGCAGTGGTTGAGAGTCCGCCTGCCGAAGCAGGGGACACGGGTTCGTGCCCCGGTCCGGGAGAATCCCACATGCCGCGGAGCGGCTGGGCCCGTGAGCCATGGCCGCTGAGCCTGCGCGTCCGGAGCCTGTGCTCCGCAACGGGAGAGGCCACAACAGTGAGAGACCCGCGTACCGCAAAAACAAAAACAAAACAAAACAAAGTGGTATAATCTGTTATCAGGATTACCTAAAATATGTAATGGTCTGCTATTCCATAAATGATACTGAAAGTAATAATAGTTGTCTCATTTTTATTTAACAAAATCCACTTGACAAAATGTCAGAACCAGAAGGGGCCTTAGGGATCATGTGGTCCAGTCTTCTCGTTTTATAGCTGGAGACCCAGAGGTCTTGAGTGGAGGCGTGATTGGCCCAAGGTCACACATTGAGGTGGTGGTGGAACAAGACCTGGGACCTGGGTCTCCTGATTTTTTGCTACATGTCCATTTTGGCCCGTTTGATTCTCCTTATCTGCCCCCTCCCCGAAACACAGGAAGTGGATGGAATCACTCTTTTCCCATCCTCTTCCCTTCATGCTTATCTTTCACCAGCCAGAACCATCTGTTTGTCAACATAATCACACCCCCCAGGCACATCTAGTCCCTTCAAGCCTGACTTGAGGAGAAGGTAAAACAACTGTTGGCCCCTGGCAGTAGCAATAACAGTAAGAGCAACAAATAACGATAGTCAACAACTGGCACAGTACCCTATACTTTAAAACACTTTTCCCTACACTGTCAACACATTCTCACAGTTTCTCCCTAACCTGGTTGGCTTAGGAACATAATTTCCTCCAACTTATTTGATTCAACACTTCCTGAGGACCCACTTTATGCCTAGCCATGGGCTAGAGATTGGAGACACAGAGAGGAATAAGTCCATGCCTCTGCCGGAAGGAGCTCACAATCTAATGGGGATTGAGGGCAGGTGGGCACATAACAACTTCTTTTGGTCCAAATGGTGCAGCAGTAAAATGCCCTGCCCCACCCTATGGGGAGGCTTCTTTATCATGCTGTCAAGCGGCAGAATGTATCTTTGAAATAAACTGGAGCAAGAAAAGATGAATGAAAGGCTGAACAGGACAGCAGGAGGGAAGGTAGAGAATAGAAAATACAGACACCAAAAACTTGACCTCCTTGTCTCATGGAGATTCTAATGAGAGATTCCTGGGAGGGCAAGGGAGCAGCAGTGGGATCCATGTGAAATCAGAAAGCCACGGTCCCTGACTCCCTGACAGCACACAAGATTCTGATGCTTCTGTTCCTTTAGGGATTCTGCCCTCGGATGCCAAGATTTTCCAAACCCAGTGCTGGGCTATATATGCCTCCTTGGGACCATCGTTGCTGGAATGACGTCAGTGCCCTTGCAGTGGAAATGTTTGTACCTCCTGATTGCTTCCTAGGCCCCTCAGCCTGGCAGCCCAACACACTCCCGCATTCATTATCCCCTGGCAGGGAACCATCCGCAGGGATGTAAAAGAGACCGGTGGGGTGGGGGAGGTGGGAGAGAACCGGACAAAGAGCAGCCACCCCTCCTCTCTCCTCCAGTCTATCTCCCAACTCCTGTGTCCCTGAGAACCTACTATGTGCCAGGCACAGGCACTATTTTAAGTGCTTTCATATATGTCTCATTCAATCCTTATATCAACCCTCTGAGATACATACCCTTCTTCCCAGATTTACAGATGAGGAAACTGAAGCTTGGGGAAGGGAGGTAACTTGACAAAGGTCATCCCAGTGATGGCACAGAGATGACAATATAGGACTGTCTGATACCTCCGGTTCCACGAGGCCCACACAGTCAATGTTTCACTTGAGAAGTCTCGAGTTGAAAAAGATCAACTGAGGAAACCCCAATGATTTCATAGACCCAAGTTTAAATTCTGGGTTGCTTTAATAGGGATGTCCCCCTGACATGTAAGAGCTGCTTGAATGGCATATTAAAACTGTACAGACCATCTAATCCAACTCCTGAATTTAACAGATTAACAGACAGACACCCACGCCTACAGAATTTTAAGATGGCTACTTGTGGCCTACAAGCAAGCTAAAGGACTAGAACCCCAATCTCTGGCACTTTCCCTACCCGACCATGCCTGCAGAGATCACCTTTTTCTGGGAAGCAACTCCAGCCCATCCCACCTCCAGATGGGCAGAGAAGGCAGAGGAAACAGGCAGTGTGTTGCCAGGCCTCTCCTCAATCTGCTGGGTTGAGTAAGGGTATATGGGTGCTTCCCAGGCTAGGAGGTGTTCCCAACAGCCCAGCTCCCTGCCGAGGAGCAGAAGAAACCATCACAGCCTGTGGAGAATCCATGGAGACTGAGGCTTAGATCTCCTACTCTAGGGGTCATGGACATTTTTTTCTTCTCAGGGGAGAATATGGGAAGGAAGCAGTCATTGGCACTTGACCTTGGGCTGGGTGTGGGGTTCCCTGCTTCCCCCTCCCCCAGGTACTCTTGCTCCTCCTCCAAGAAAGAGAGAGGCTTAAATGTTTGTCAAATGCCGTAAGAGGAAAACAAATAGGAATGGGGTGATTCCTAAAATCCTCCAAATAGCCCACTTTGGGCATCTTCTCTGCTGCCACCAGCATCCTCTAATTAGTGAATTTCTAGGTGGTGGTGGTGGGGCGCTTCGAGGGATGTAGGGGAATGAAGGGATGGTAAGAATGAGTCACAGTTAACCCCTCCTCGGCTGGTGCCCTCTGAGGGATTCTACCGCAGAGAGCAGCCCCCGCCCGCCGGCCGCCGCGGTGCAGCGCAGGCCCCCATCCCTGCTCCGCCGAGGCCTCCTCACCTGAGTCCACTCGCCCTCCGCAGTCCCGCCGGCTCTCACCACTCCGGCCCGGCTTGGCGCAGCGCCTCTGCAGTCGCTGCTGCAGCTGCCTGGCCCAGATCAGCAACCTGCGGCGGTGGGGAAAACAGACAGACAGGGGCGGGTGAGCGCGGGCGGGGACAGCGGGCAGCCGAGTCCCCGACCGCTGACAGCTGGGCCGCCGCGGCCAGAAAGCCTGGAGGGCCGGCTGCCCGCCGGGCGCTCCGGCCGCTCCCCTGCGGGGCCCGCGCCTCCCCTCCCCCCACCCCGCACTTGGCACTCTGGGCTGCGGCGGCACAGCTGGGCGGTGGGCCCGGAGGTTCCTGTCATCACCTGCGGAGGCTTCCATAGCTTCGGCTGCCCTGCCCAGGCCGCCGAACTGCTCTCTGGAGTCCCTACTGGAGGCTGCTAGCTGCGTGCTCGCTGGGGCTGGGGCTGCCGGGAGGGAGGGAGGGAGGGGGGTGGGGAGGGTGAGGTGGATGGAGGGGACCAGCCAGTCGGCGGCTCGCCGGCAGCTGCGTAAGCGGCCCGCTTCACTTTCCTTCTTAAAGAGATAGTTAGTGTCTTGCTCCAGAGGGCGCGGAAGACGCCAGCATGCGTGGAGTTAGGGGCCTCTCGTACCTCCACACCGGCCTGTACTTATAACTGGGCGGCGGGGCCTGGCGGAGAGCACGTTGGCCCACTGACAGGTCGTGTGACCCTGGGCAAGCCCCTTCACCACCATGGGCCTCAGCTTTCTCATCTGTAACATCGGATGATGGTAATAGTCTTACTCCCTGTCACACGGTTGGCTTAAATAGTAATTTGATCCGAATTCCTCTGAGAACATTTTTCACTCCTCAAATCAAGTACCTCTGAGTATTTAATGCAAACAGCACTCAGACTACTTAGAAAAATGATAGCAAGAATCTTAAACAAGATGGTGAATCATTGGAAACATATGCAGTCACAACCTAAAGTAAGTGTTTATTATACACCTTTCCCCTCTGTGTCTGTCTTCCACCCACTATCACAGGGGAAGAAGAGGAAAAACAAGTGGGAAAAGTAAAGAAAACTGGACTCTCTGCCTAGCGTTTCCACTTCTAGCCCTGCAACTTTAGATAAGTTAACTCACTCTCTGGGCCTGGTTTCTTATCTGCTCCATGTGTGGGAAGTGGGGCTCAATGGGAAGGGTCTCCCTCCTTCTGAACCAGCCCTAACTACCTGATTTGTCATTCCTCTGCTCAAACCATCTGTCACTTCTTCCAGATCTCTGCTCAAATGTCACTGTCCCAGGGAGGCCTTCCTTGACCACCCAAAATAAAATAGTGATTCCCTCCTCCCTCACTTCCTCTGCCCCAGTTTTGCTGTATTTCACCACCAGATTGTATTTTTACTATTTGTAGTCTTTCATTATTACCCCCACTAGAATGTACACTCCATGAAGGAAGGGACTTTGTTCTGTCTCCTGCCATATCCCCAGTGCTTACAATGGTGCCTAACACATATCATGTGCTCAATAAATATTGACTAAGTGAATGAGAGAGCAAGCATGCATTATGCCAGGCCCTAGTCTTCTATAAGAACACAAGGCCAGATGCTATCCTCGTCTCTTAAGACTTTTATGTCCTAAAGTCTCAGTCTACTTTTGGCAAGGCTGTACCTGGTACCCTCCACCCTAAACTGAATTTTCCAAGAGAAGTATTTGTAAAGTGACTTCACCAACTTCATATCATGACTCTGCAATACTGGCCTGGTGAGAAATAGTTAATATTTACAATGTACATGAAAAAAATAATTATTTTAAATTAACTGTTACTTTTCAAAGTTAAATCTTTTGTGTAGCTCTGATTTGTGGTAAATCCATCACTCTATAACAATACATATAATTTTGCAACAAATGCCTATAAGTTTTTTTTGCATATTGGTAATATTTTTCCCTCATTCAATTAAGCTGAATTCTCCTATCAGATGGCCATGATTATATTATGCTTTGTGGAAAAACATAACAGCAATCGTGGCAGAAATAGGAAATTGTAGTTGAAAAAGCCATGTGAAATAAGGCCTTCTGTCTAAAAACAAACAAACAAAAAGCTAATGCTAAATTAGCAAGTTAATTGATGAAATGTTTTATCTGCCCTAAGGCCCACCTAAATTATATAAGTGACTTATTTACACTTAAAGCAAAACCAAAGGAAGCCATGTAATTGTTGTTTGTTTATCAGGAGATAATTCCTGAGATCCTTATTTAAAAAATATGTTTTGTTTGTCCTCAGGTTTTTTCCCTTGGTACTTAGAAGACTACATTTCCCAGAAATATCCACAAGGAACTTCACCCCACAAAAAGAGAGAGGACCTCTAACCACATTACTCCCATCTGGGATGGTGTTAAGAATCTCTCCTCAGTAACATAAAGCGTGTGATTGAGAAGAAGAGAACCAATGTTTAGTTGCAACATAAATTATCATAAGTGAGGATTTTAAGCATAAAACAAATTATTCTAAAGAAATTAGTAGTTTTTGTTTTGTACACATTGGGAAATACTTAAATTTGTTTAGTTTCAAAAGCAATTTTGGTTCCAATTCTGGGTAAGCACATTCCTCCCACTGAATGTCACAATAAACCTGAACAAAATGTATGTAGCAGCTACTTGAGGACTCCGAAAATACTAGCAGGAAATTGGGGAAGAAGGATAGAATCTGACATACCACTGACTAGTGAATTTACCAGTTTTTCTTCCTCTGGTATCCCCCAGCCTGGTCTGAAGGAAGCCCAAAACCTGGACTTGGGGAATCAACACAGAGAGAGTGCCCATGAATCTCCCTAGTTCTGACTTTAGGGTTAGGAAAGGAGACCCCTAATGCTCAGGGTGAGAGGGGGAAATAATTTTTCTTTTATTTTTTAATCTTTTCTCCATTATCTCATGCCCAAGCTCCCAGGGAATCCTGCAGTGGTGGCTGTGACATCAGGGACCCACAGATCCCTAAAACTCTGAGGGAGGAAAAACTTCTCCAATCAAGTATCTGTAGTCCTAAGAGAGTGTGAGCCTCTGCTGGTTTTTTGTTTTTATTTTTATTTATTTATTTTCTTTTGTCTCTTTCCGTCCTCCCACCATTTGGCTTCAGATGCAGGTGCAATTGTGGGGAGAAGGCAGCAAAACAGAGCAGAGTAAACAAAGCTACAAGCTCCAGCTTTCTGGTGAACCCCAAAGAGGATAAACCAAATAATGATAATAATAGAAAAATAATGATCCCAGTTACTACTGAAGACTAAATAAAGAAAAAATCTTGCAAGCAATCAGAGAAAAATGATGTGTTAATTACATAGGAATAAAGATTTGAATAACTGTGAATTTCTCAACTGAAACCATGAAGGGCAGGAGAAAAATGGAACAAGAATTTTAAATTGCTGACAGAAAACAGCAGTCAACCAGGATTCTATACCCAGCAAAAATATCCATCAGGAATAAAAGTAAAATAAAGACATTTCTCAGATAAAGGTAAGTTAAGAAAATTTGTTGTCAGCAGACCTGCTCTGAAAGAACTGTTAAAGGAAATTCTTTAGACAGAAGGGAAATTATATTAGAAGGAAACTTAGAACATCAGGGAGGAAAGAAGGACAATAAAAATGGTAAATATTTGGGTAAATTTAATAGACTGTCCTCCTCTTGAATTCTTTAAAATATGTTTGACAGTTGAAAGCAAAAATCATAACACTGTCTGATGGGGTTTCAATGTAGGTAGATGTAATACATGACAATTTTGATTACATATAAAGCAGGAAGTATAAAGGAACTTATATGGTACAAGGTTTCTACACTCCACTTGAAATGGTAAAATACTGATTCTAAGTAGACTGTGAAAAGTTAAGTATTTATTTTGTAATCCTTAAAGAAACCATTTAAGAATATCTATAACAAAAGATATAGTAAAAAACAACAGATAAATTAAAATGGAATTCTAAAAAAAAAAGTTCAAATATTCCAAAAGAGGGCAAGAAAGGAGGAAACAGAGGAATGAAAAATAGAGGAAACAAACAGTAAACAAATAATAAAATGGTAGATCTAAATCCAAACATGTCAATATTTACATTAAATGTATAAACATCAATTAAACAGAGATTTTCAGGATGGATAAAAAAATGACTTAATTAGACGCTTTCTACAAGAAACTCACTTTAAATATAATGATATAGGTAAGCTAAAAATAAAAGATGGGGAAAGATATACCATAATACGAATTAAAGGAGAGCTGGAATGGCTTAATATGAGAAAAAGTAGACTTCAAAGCAAAGAAAATTACCAGAGATAAAGAGAATCATTATATAAAAATAAAAGGGTCATTTCACAAGGAAGACATAATAATTGTAAATAATTGTAGAAGAGCTTCAAAATACATGAAGCAAAACTTGTCATAACCGAGAGAATAAATAGATTCATAATTATAGTTGCAGACATGAACACTCCTTTCTCTGTAATCAGTAGAACTAGTAGACAGCAAATAAGCCAGGATATAGAAGAACTGAATAGCACTAACAACCAACTAGGTTCAATTGACATTTCACCTAACAACTGCAGAATATATTCAAGTGTCATCCATCAAGACAGACCCTACACTAGGTCATAAAACAAACCTTAATAAATTTAAAAGAATCATAATCATTTAAAGTATGTTCTCTGACCATAATGAATTAGACTAGAAATAATTGCAGAAAGGTAACAGGAAACTCTCCCTTGAAAATTAAACAACATACTTCTAAATAATCCACAGGTCAAAGTGGAAGTCTCAAGGGAAATTAGAAAATATTTTGAACTGAACAAAAATGAAAATACAACATGTCAAAATTTGTGCAATGCAGCTAAAGCAGTGCTTGGAGGGAAATATATAGCATTAACTGTTTAAAGAAGGTCTCAAATCAATTAAGCTTCCACCTTAATAAAACTAAAAAATAAGAGCAAAATAAACTCAAAGCAAGCTGCAGGAAGGAAACAATAAATATCACACCAGAAATCAATGAAACTGAAAAAGAAAAGCAAAGGAGAAAATCAGTGAAACCAAAAGCT